CGGGCTTTGACTTCAGAGTTGGCAGTTGAAAAAGCTTCTTCAAATCAAGCAGGTAAGGAAAAGGCTCGTCTGGAAACCTCTTTTTCCGAGCAATTGTCCAAGGCAAGTGAAGAAATTAGAGAGTTGAGGGCTCTCTTGGGTGAAAAAGAAGCATATGCTGGTGAACTCGTGCAGAATTTGACTCAAACTCAAGAAGACCTCCAGGTATCTTCTGATAAAGTTTGTTCTTTAGAAAATTCCCACGCTTCTCTTCAAGCTTCTTATGAGTATGCCTTGGCTGAAAAATGAAAAGTTAAGAAATGAAATTGCTGACTGGGAAAGAGATTACGAGATCCTTGAAGATAAAACTGCCATTGAAGTGAGTTGGGCGTTTTTAAATTCTCGCCATGATACCCTCGTTGAAGTTAGCCAGGAGAATTTTAACTTGGAATCTGAGTTAGCCAAGATCAAAGAGACTATTGAGAAGACTCAGCAGAACCAAGATTTTTCTTCTCCCGTGGCTGAAGCTTTTGAAAATGTTGAAGATGATACGGGTATCCCCACTCCTTCAAGTCAAGTTGAGCCTGCTGCTGTTGATGTCCCTGCTTCAGTTCCTTCAACTTCTCAGTGAAAAGTTTATGTTGTTTGAATTCCTTTGTTTTTTCTTTTCTTTTTGGTGATATGTGATTGTAACGTGGTCTTTTTAAGGGTTTGTTGAAAACGTTAAGTCGCCAGACCTTTTATGGGGCATTTTGTATAAACAACTTTTGGTTTATGACTAAGTTCATACTTAGTCTAAACTTTTTTTAATATTAAGAAGTTTCTGTTGCTGTTTTGAACTTCTGTTTTGTTTATTCTTGCCTTTATTTTTAAGGACTTACTGAATAACTTGCATTTTTATTTTTCAAAAATGCTTCTTTTTTTTAGCTTCATAAATACTTGAATTAATCATGAATTTTATAAAAGAGGGCCCTTTTATTTTCGACACTTAATGAAGAAGACGTCCCAACTTCATAATGGTGTTAATATACAATAAAAGAAATAGGAATACACATGTTTCTTGAAATAACTTTGACAAGTTTTTATTTGAACTTTGTCTAGTTTTGAATAACACTTTACATGTATTTGAATTACTTCTATAACTTTCTCGTAATTATTTTTCTTATAACAGATTTCAAAAAAGAAAATGAACACAAGGTTTTTATTTATAACCCGTTTCAGTACATTGCTTTTACCCTAACTATAATAAGGTTTTTCTTTGGCCTTAGCTCGTGACTTTGCTCTGCACTTGACTCATTCAATGAGTGAACTTCTCAGGCTTGATCTTTGATTATTTCCAAATCTTTTTTGCCTTCTTTATACACATGTCTATGTATATTATATAGTTCCCCAAGTGTTTGAGCTTTGAAGTCCTCTCATTTGGTCCTTTCCCTGTAAAAGAAAAACATACGGGACGCGGAGGTGCGATTATAGATGAAGACTGCCTAACCCGTTTCAATTTCTATCAGAATAATTGTAACCCTAGACTGGAAAAATTGATTCACGTGCCTTGCGGGTCGTGACTCATCATTTAGTACGGGTTAGTTTTTTGCCTATCATCTAAAATCGTTAGTAAAATTTTGACAATTCAAAAATAAAATTTAAAAGTATGGATACCTGATCGTGGGTATTCCTTAGAAATAGTATCTCTTCAAGTGAACTGCATTCCAATGTGAAGGTAGTATCTTGCCATCCATCGTTTCCAGCTCGTATGCTCCTTTTCCTGCGATACCATGAAGCTTGTAGGGTCCCTCCCAGGTTGGACTCAATTTTCCCGCATTATCTGCCTTCGTAGATTGAAAAACTTTTTTGAACACGAAGTCTCCAATCTTGAAGTATCATAGGTGCGCTTTGCGATTGTATTATCGTTCCAAGACCTGCTTTTGTGCTGCCATTCTTATTAATGCAGCTTCCCTTTTTCCTTCAAGTAGATCAAGGTTTATGCGCATTTCTTCGTCATTAGATTCTTCTGATGTTTGTGTAAACCTCGTGCTTAGCTCTCCTATCTCAACTGGAATTAAGGCTTCAGCTCCATAAACTAATGAGAATGGTCTTTCTCCCGTACTTATTTTTGTTGTTGTGCGGTATGCCCATAAAACACCAGGTTTGCAATTCTGGCCAATTACCTTTGAATTCCTCTAAACGCTTCTTTAAATTGTTGATAATGACTTTGTTTGTTGATTCAGCTTGGCCATTACCCACCGGATAATAAGGTGTGGATGTAATCCTTTTGATCTACCAACTTTGAAAAAACTCCGTGATTTGTGCGCCTATAAATTGAGGGCCACTATCACACACAATTTCCTTTGGCACACCAAATCGACATATGATATTTCGCCAAATGAAATCTCTAACTTCTTTTTCCCGCACCTGTTTGAATGCTCCTGCTTCCACCCATTTAGTAAAATAGTTAGTGAGTACAAGCAAAAATTTTACCTGTCCTTTTGCTTGTGGTAGTGCACCCACGATATCCATCCCCCATTTCATAAAAGGTCACGGTGCAATAACCGGATGTAACAACTCCGCAGTTCTATGCATGTTATTACCGTATCTTTGACATTTATCACATTTAGCCACGAAATTTTCCGCTTCTTCTTCCATTTTAGGCCAATAATAACCTGCCCTAATCATGGTTCTTACCAGTGATCTTCCTCCTGCGTGATTTCCACAATGCCCTTCGTGTATTTCTCTCATTACATATTCTGTCTGAGAAGGCCCGAGGCATCTTGCTAAGGGACCACCGAACATTTTTCGATAAAGATTGCCTTTCTTTAAACAATATCGAGCAGCCTTTTTCCGAAGCGCGTGAGCTTTTTTCTTATCTTCAGGGACGGTTCCATACTGCAAAAAAGCAACAATCTCGTTCCTCCAATCCCAGGTTAAGTTATTAAAATTTACCTCATTTTTATCTGGATCGAGTACTGAATGAAACAAATGAATTACGGAAGCATTTTTAGTGCTTGCCACATCTGCCGCAGATGCGAGATTGGCTAGGGCGTCTGCCTCGACATTTTCATCTCTTGGTATTTGCATAACTTTCCAGGTTTGGAATTGCTTGATCAAATCCCGTACCTTCTCTAAATACTGTTGCATTCGTGCTTCCCTGGCTGTATAAGTCCCCAGCATTTGGTTAACTACAAGCTGCGAATCGCTTTTGATTACAATCTAATTAATGCCGAGTTCCCGTGCCAGTTCTAAACCTGCAATTACAGCTTCATACTATGCTTCATTGTTAGTTATAGAATGACATTTAATGGCTTGTCAAATGGTCTCACCCGTAGGTGGTACCAAAACAATTCCTAAGCCTGCACCCTTCACATTAGACGAACCATCAGTAAATAAGGTCCAAATTCTCGGATTAGATCCGTTGAATACCTGTAATTCTTTTTTTGCTTCTAATTGCATTCCTTGGCTAAAATCAGCCACAAAATCTGCTAACACTTGAGATTTTATCGCGGTTCTAGGCTGGTATGTGATGTCATATTCACTTAATTTTATAGCCCATTTGGCTAACCTACCTGACAACTCATGTTTGTGTAATATATTGCATAATGGATAAGCAGTTACTACAGCAATAGGGTGACACTGAAAATAAGGCCTTAATTTTCTAAATGTCGTGATTAGTGCAAGCGCAAGCTTTTCTACTTGAGGATACCGCGTCTCCGCATCTAATAAAGATTTGCTGACATAATAAATCGGAGATTGTTTACCTTGATCTTCACGAACTAACACAGCATTTACCGCTACTTCGGAGACAGCAAGGTAGATGAGCAATCTTTCCCCAATTTTTGGTTTGGAGAGCAATGGCGGATTTGATAAGTATGTCTTCAAATTTTTGAGTGCCTGTTGACATTCCTCAGTCCATTCGAACTGATCTTGCTTTTTAAGAGCTGAAAAGAATTTAAAGCACTTTTCTGATGATTTGGAAATAAATCTCCCCAAGGCTGCAATTCTTCCTGTCAACCGCTGTACTTCTTTTTTACTTGTAAGCATGTTAGGGATTTCTTCAATGGCCTTAATCTGTGCGGGATTTACTTCAATACCACGGTTAGAAACAAGAAAACCCAAAAACTTACCTGATGCAACACCGAATGCACATTTCTCAGGATTTAATTTCATATTGAATTTTTGCAAGATCAGAAACGTATCAGACAAGTGTGGTATATGATCCCCTGAATGTTGAGTTTTAACGAGCATATCATCTATATAGACCTCCATAGTTTTTCTCAAATGTTCTTGAAACATTTTGGTCACTAGTCTTTGATATGTTGCACCAGCATTTTTAAGGCCAAAAGGCATTACTTTATAACAGTAAGTCCCCCTGTCTGTTGTAAATGAAGTTTTTTCTTCATCTATAGGATCCAGTTTGATCTGGTTGTATCCTGAATACGCGTCTAGAAAGCTTAACAATTCATGCCTTGCAGTAGCATCAATTAGTTGATCTATATGTGGTAATGGAAAAGAATCTTTAGGACAAGTTTTGTTAAGGTCTGTGTAATCTACACAAACTCACCATTTGCCATTCTTCTTCGGTACCACAACAGTATTGGCTAACCAGTTAGGATACTTTACCTCGCGAATAGACCCAATTTTTAGTAATTTTTGAACCTCATCTTGAATCACCTGATTCTTGAAAGTTCCTTGCTTTCTCTTCTTTTGTTTCACAGGCGGATATGATTGGTCTTCATTTAATTTGTGAGTCATTACCTCCGGTGGTATTCCTGTCATATCAGAATGGGACCAAGCAAAACAATCCACGTTAGCAAACAAAAATTCAATCAACTTACCTTTCATATCCTAGCTTAGATTGGCCCCTACGTAGACTTTCTTTTCATGCCATTGTGTAGACAACACTACAGCCTCCAGCTCTTCAATTGTTGTTTTGATATTTTCGTTTTCCTCTGGTTCTTGAATGGCATCAGGCGTTGAGTCCACATCTGTTCGCCCTTGTTCAGTTGAGGTTTGTGTTGTGGTACCCTCAACTAGATTCTGTAATTGCTATTTTTCTTGTTTCTCATACTTGAATCTGCAACAGAGTTGATGCTCCTGAATGTCTGTTGATCCCCACGGATTTGACATATCCCCCATGGTGATAGAAATTTAATAACTTGATGTAAGGTCGACGGAACAGCATCCATCTCGTGGATCCATGGTCTCCCAAAAATCATATTGTAATCCATCTCCATATCTACCACTTGAAATTTTGTATCCTTGACAACTCCTTCTGCAAATGTAGTAAGTATTACCTCTCCTTTCGTTAAAACGCTGGAATGGTCGAATCCAGACAAAGTATGCGCCTTTGGTACTAATTTATCTTTAGCTTGCATCTCGTGTAGTACTCTTAGCAGAATAATGTTCACAGAACTACCTGGATCAATCAAAACTCGTTTCACATTAGTATCATGTACAAGTAGAGATATTACCAGTGCATCGTTATGTGGAGATAATACGCAATTCGCATCTGCATCATCAAATGTAATACTTTCTTCCTCTAAAACATGTCGCACTCGCTTCCCGTGGGTAATTGTGACTTTGGAAACTTTATTGGCTGTTGTGTACGTCACACCATTGATTTCTTCCCCTCCTCGTATAACATTAACAGTCCTTTTGGGAGAAGGCAATTTAAGGGGCTCCTGTCTATTCTTCATGTATGCTTGCTTACCTTTCTCACTGAATAATTCGGTGAGATACCCTTGCTTCAATAGATGATCAACTTCTCCTTGTAGCAACCTACAATCTGCCATTTTATGACCATGACCATTGTGAAATTCGCACCAGTGATCGGGATTGCGCCTGTTTGGATTCGATCTCATTTCTTTTGGCCACCGCACCTTATCACCCATGCTTCTTAAAATAGCTACGAGCTCGAAAGTGCTTACATTAAAATTATAACTGCCAAATCTTGCCTTCAAGTTTCTATCATCGTCCCGCGACTCTCTCGTGTTTCGATCATTCCCAATTCTTGATGATGAGCCCGACTCTCTATTCCTCGATTTATGATCGTACCTTGAATTGTCCTATTTTGATCCTGCAGCTCTTCCCGCTGGGCCCATATATGGTTCGTACCGGTTTTTACCGGACCTTTTTTTGGTTTCCGCCCGTCTCGAACTTACCTTTTCCTCTTTTTGAGACCGTGAGATAATATCTTCTTCTATCCTTAGTTTCGTGCTATACCTATTGTATACGACATTCCATGTTGTTGCTGGGAATTCACGAAGACTTTCCTTGAGTCACCTCGTGGCTTCTGAGCTTTTTTTCATTCAAATTACTAGTGAAGGCTATAGCTGTCCAATTGTCTGATACTCGTGGTAACGTCATTCTTTCACGTTGGAACCTATCGACGAATTCTCTAAGCAACTCTGAGTCCCCTTGCTTGATTTTGAAAATATCCTCCATTCTTTTTTCGACTTTTTGAGCTCCCGAATGTGCTTTAATAAACGAATATGCAAGCTCAGCAAAATAATTTATAAAATTTTCGGGTAAAAGAGAATACCATGTTAATGCTCCCTTAGTGAGTGTTTGCCGAATTTTTGACCAATACTGATTCGATTTCTTGTTTGGTCAGGTCGTTGCCTTTTACGCCAGTTGTGAATGCAGTCACGTGGTCTCGTGGATCAGTTGTTCCATTGTATTTTGGAATATCGAGCATTTTGAATTTCTTTGGAATTGGGAGAGGAGCAGCACTTGGCTTCCAAGGTTGTTGTGAATATTTGTCTATATCTATCCCTTTGATTACAGGCGGTACTCCAGGTATTTGTTCTATGCGGTCACTTTGCTCTTTGAGCTGTTTCTGCAATGTTAATACTAAATTTTGTAAATCAGAATTAATTAAGTTACCTCGTTCTCCATCTCGTGACTCGCTGGGGATTCCACCATTGCCTGAATTAGGAAGCCCAGAACGAGGGTTTTCCAAGGTGTTGGTATTTGGAATTGGTGTTGGTGGTGCAACAGGTAACTAACTGGCAAAGGCTTCAAGAGCTTTATTGACATGTTAAGCGATTAGCTTTTGAAAAGCTTCATTAATAGCTTCATCGTTTTCAAATTGAGCATTCTCATTTGAATGCGACCCATCAGGAGTGCCTTCTCGAGACCGCCGAAGGGAGCTTTGTGGAGAAGGAATCGGCTGGTCATCTTGTGAATTACCCTAGAGTTGAGGGTTTCCTTGGTTTCCTTGGTTGTTGTCATTAACGTTTGACATGGTTGTTGATGCAAAAAAGGTTAGACTAAGAAAGAATAGATTATCAGATTCCCGGTAACGGAACCAATTTGTTTAACAAAAAAATAGAATTTCGATCAAAGTTTTATTTTTAGAAGAACTCGGGTTACTAATAATCGAAAATGAACAGAAGAAATTGATTTTGATAACAATAAGATAGATAGCATAAAACAAAGTAAATCAGTATATTCAGTTGATATTTCGTATCCTTACAAATGACCAATCTTCTCCTTTTTATAGCTATCTGCATATCTCTAAGATATACGTTTTGCCTTTATCATAATAAGATCATTATAGATAATTAAAGGCATTAAATGCTACGTTACATAATCATTGTAATTTAATACAGATTCACTAACGTTTTCAGTATTTAATGCTTATTAAATATTGTATTTGTACTCTCTTGTGCTGTCAGATTCATTCTTCTTAACTTTTAGATTTAAATAGGTACGAGCGTCGAGTCTTTATCTCCTCATGCCTCTGCTTGTGCCTCTGCTCGTATCTGTTGCAACTCGTGCCTCCTTGCTTACCATCATTCTTTGACCAGCTTTCGTGTTATAACACATCATCTTTCAATCACTTCAATATGTAAACTCAATTTTTCCCAATACAAGTGGTGTGCAAGAAGTGGAGATGTTAGCCTAACCAATAATCAAAGGGGAATAACCGTAATAGGTTAAGACCCTATCAAATTCAAGGTAAAGTGTGTAATAGTTTATACTGTTTATACTGTTCCTCTCTATTTCGTATAAGTTATTTATGGTAGAATCATGCATGTATTGTTCAAAAAATTGGTACTAATTTATTCTATGTTATATTTTGTTACATGTATTAATCTTGCCAAAAAAATTAGGGGGAAAAAATAAGAAGAACCAAATCAAATTTGCTTGTGCAAGAACCTAATACAATTTTTTTTTATGAAATACATCTTTTTAAAATTAATTATGAGGTACACACAATATGCGTACCTAAAATATAAAAGATACACTATTCCATCACTTGAAATATTAACAAGTTTTATTAATGGTTACATTTTATGTGAAACAGGATACTATTACATAAGCTACAAAAATGGCAGAAGAAGGTAAATACAAAATAATTATTAGTTTTTGTTACGTTAAATATTGACAGTTTTATAAGATTAAGTGATTGACATCCTCTTCATAGATCAAATAAAAATTGCATATGCGCTCCGAAAGATGAGTAGATATGTCGCAGCAACTACATTCAAATTGGCCGAGGGAAACAAAGATAAACAAGGAGACCAATTTAGCGGTACATCTAATACGCCAAATACATAATCCTTATCACTAATGTATTCTTATGTTTGTGCAAGACTAATACAACAGGCATTAAAGACAAACCTATTGCTTCTTCCCATGAAGTTGGTCTACATGTCAATCATCCAACAAATGTTATAAGCTCTACAGGTACAATTCTGCATGGTGCATTTTCAATTATTGTTGATTAAACATGTATAAATAATTTTTTACAAACACTGTTGAACATAAAAATGCATGGTCAATATAATACTCATATTACGTTAAACTAATCAATAATGCAATTTTACAAACTTCTAACTAATATGGCAGGTGATAAAGGAAAATCCATTGTTTGTGCCAGTGAAGTTAATGAACATATCAACCCAACAACGAAATAAGCTACACAGGTAAGATCTCATTATGTACATGTTTAAAAGTGGGTGTCAATTTTATTTCAGTTATTTGCATACATACATCTATTCATGTATGTTATAATATTTGCTCTTACCATTAGATTGATATTTTCATTATAGAAAGAACACAATTACGTAGCGCGTTGCGGAGGGTGGAAACATATGTAGCATACAGCCAACCATTAACAAATCTACAGATTTGTAATGACCCGGACGGTCGTTTTTAGAATTTACGCCCCGGTCCCCTATAAACTACTTCCCCTAAGTTCATTTCTGCTATTTTGGTTTGCCGGGACGTTCGGCGTAGGGTTTTCGGAGAGTTTTGGGACACTTAGTCCCTAAGTGAGAGCTTAAGTGTTGGAAAGTTGCCCGTAGTTAGAACAGTGTGAAGACGGCCTCGGAATGGAAATCTGATGGTTCCATTAGCTCCGTTAGGTGATTTCGGGGTAGGGAGAGTGCTCGGAATGTATTTTGGAAGTCCGTAGCTAATTTAGGCTTGAAATGCCGAAAGTTGGAATTTTGAAGTTTTCGGTCCGATAGTGAGATTTTGATCCGAGGGTCGGAATGGGATTCCGGAAGTTGCAGTAGCTCCGTCATGTCATTTGGGACGTGTGTGCAAAATTTCAGGTCATTCGGACGTGTTTTGGTTAGGTTTTTGATCGAAAGCGTATTTTGAAGAAAATTGGAGTTCTTAGGCTTAAATCTTTGATTAATTCGGGTTTCCGGTGTTGTTTTAGGTATTTTAAGGATTGGTACAAGTTTGAATTTAGGTGATATTGGTGCTTTTGGTTGAGGTCCCGGAGGCCTCGAGATGAATTCGGATGGTTGACGGAAGGATTTTGGAAGTTGGGAGATTTCAGATTTTTGCTGCTTCTGGTATTTTCGCATCTGCGGTTTGGGAACCGCAGATGCGGTATCGCAGATGCGGCTAAGTAGACCGCAGAAGTGGGTTTAGGTTTGTTCAGCAGTTTCCGTAGATGCGGTGGATTTTCCGCAGAAGCGGATCTGCATCTGCGAGATTAAGACCGCAGGTGCGGAAATTTGGCCTTTTAGTGAAAGTCGCAGATGCGACCTGAGTTCCGCAGATGCGGTCCCTTGACCGCAGAAGCGGAAATCACCGGACAGAAATATGAAATTCGAGGGTTTAGTTTCAAAAGTTAGAAAAATCAAATTGGAGCTCGGGAGAGGGCGATTCTGAGAGGGACTTGAAGAGGAGATCATTGGTAACGTTTCTTTAATCCTTTCTAGTTATATTCCATCAATCTATAGTTAATTTATCATCTAAATTCGGATTGGGGATCAAAAATTGGGGAAAAATTGGAAGAAACTTCTTAGACCGAATTATTGAGTTTTGAGTGGGTGTTTGACCTCCGATTTGAGAGATTTTTATATGATTAGACTCGTGAGAGTACGAGGGTTCTGAAAATGTTAAATTCATCCGATTCCGAGACGTTGGCCTGAGGGGCATTTTGGTCATTTTGCATAATTTCGCGTATTAGCTTTGAATTAAATTATAGAATCAGTTGCTTGAGATGTTATTTACAATATCTAATTGGATTGAATAGATTTGAGCCATTTGGAGTCGGATACTCGTGGCAAAGGCGTGGTTTCTAGTCGATTTTTGAGCCGGTTCGAGGTAAGTGGCTTGTTTACCTTTGTGTGGGGGGCCTTTTCCCTTAGGATATGATAATTGGTATTTGAATGCCTTGTACGTGAGGTGACGAGCGCGTACTTGAGCTAATTGTTGAAAAATCCGG